TGTGTGTGTGTGTGTGTGTGTGTGTGTGTGTGTGTGTGTGTGTGTGTGTGTGTGTGTGTGTGTGTTAAGTAAGAAGAGATAACATGATAGTATTTTCTAATTTGCTCCTGACCAAGACAAAAATGAAGCTGAAACAGAACTGAACAAGATAGAAACAGGATTCTGTTGAACACGTTCATTCATCACATTACAGTGAACTAAAGTTTTTCCATATTGGTGGACTGTCAGTGAAACAGGAGTAATATTTAAATCCCAGCTAAACTTTTACACAGTACAAGGCAGAACTGTTTCTGTATAAGTGAGGTGGTATGTCACTGAGCTGCAGTGTTGGAAAGGTAATTACAAGTAACTCCATTTAAAGGGGTCAATATCATGTAAAATCAACTTTTTTGAGTTTTATATCATGTTATAATGTTATACTCTAATAAAAAACATGCCCAAAGCCTTGCTTTGACTCATTCATRCATGTTTGAGAAATCCTGCAGTGTTTTTAGGAAGCCATGCTGAGGAGCAAAACGACAGGTGGGGACCAGAAACACCTTTTGGAACCAGAAACACCCCTGGGACGTGTCTTTAAGCTGAACTTCCTCATGGCAGAGCACACCCCCCTCCCCACGCACCCCGCCCATGACTCCTGCAGGCGAGAAGGGGTTATCTGCAGAATCAAAGTGGGCGTGTCACAAGAGTGGGCGTGTCTAAAGCATAAACACTGTGGGCTACGAGGCCTATATGACCGTATCCTTACACCCAGCTTGATATCTTTACAGCCTGACCATTTTTTTTCCAGCCTGACCCTGACCCCAACACTAAGGTTAACCAGGAGAAATGTGACCCAAGTAGGGTTCTCCAGAAAAAGTGGTGCCGTACAGTAACGCCCTTTTTGTTCTTGTCTAATCAGGTGGTGCAATTCGGTGACGCCCCTTTTTTTGCTTGTCCAGTCAGGTGTATCCCTTTAAAAAAGTCCGTCAAATCAGGTGTGTCGCTTTAGAATCGCCTTTCCTTGTGACACGCCCACTCGTCCGCAGAGACTCCTACTTCCTGCAGGCTCTTGGGTGAAAGTGAAACTTAAACTGTCTGCTGAGCTCCTAACATTACTTCTAACTCAGTGAAGCTCTTTTCAGATTAAAAATACATTTGAGGAAATGTATTTTCAGACGCCAAGTAAACTGCATCATGGCAGCCTCTCTCCACCCCACCCCCCTCACCGAAATGGGCAAAATGGAAGCGGAAGGTGCTTCTTAAAGAGACAGAGGCCAATTTCAAGGTGTTTAGAAGAGGAAGTGATGAGAAGATAAGTTTATTTTCTATTTAAACATAAAAACAGCATTTTAATAACAGCTAAAGGTGACATACAGTAGATACTTTATTATGGTATAGTACTTAAACATATGCCTGAGAAACACATAATATAGGCCCTTTAAATTTAATATCACTCAGATTCCAGAGTTGTGTTTGCTCGGAGATACATCCCAAATGCCGGACATTTCAAAGGAAGTCTTTTCAGTGGTCTCAATCGGACTTGTGACAGCATCCAGGATCATTTTGAGACATTGAAAGACCATAAAGAGCCCTGAGCTGAATGAGTGGATTAAATTAATGGTAGACATGGACATTGGAAAACTGAAAGGGACCAGGGACACTGACTGGAACAGCTTCTGGGACTCTTTAAAAAATGTAAGATTGTTAGTTACCAATTAACCTAAAGTCATGTTTTTGGTGTGTTGTTCTAACACATTCTCACTCCCGACTCGTCAACATATTGACGCTTTTCCACAGTTCCCTCTGCATCTTATTTTGACGCGTCGGGTAACCCCCCTCGCGTCAGTCCTTGCCGCCCGCGGCTTTTCCAGGTTGCACCACCAGGGGTCTTTGGGTCGGGGGTCTGAGGTTAACATGAGGGATCAGGATAAATGGTTACGTTTAGGTGCTGGGGTCGGGGATAGGATGTCTACAGTGAATATTAGGTAATTTTAGGCTTTGGAACACGTAGTTGACGTCAATTTCCTACATTTTCTAAAAATGGTTAATTTTAGATACTAGGGTCAGGGACAGGATGGCTAAAGTGAATAAAGGTAATTTTTGGTTAGTAGGTTAGGGTTAGCAGTTTTGTGCATTTTCTACACTTTCTGAAATTATGACAACAGATTCCGCCCCATCTCGTCAACAGCTGACGTAAGGGGCCTACCCGAGGCGTCAAAATAGGACACAGAGGGAACTTTGGAAAAGTGACGACTTGGGAGTGAGAATGGGTTGGTGGGCCGGAGTGCCTGGAGAAAACCCATGCATGCACAGAGAGAACATGTAAACCAGGGGTGTCAAACTCCAGTCCTCGAGGGCCGCTATCCTGCATGTTTTAGAGGTTTTCCAGCTCCAACACACCTGATTCAGTGATTGAATTAACTCTTCAAATTGGGCAGAAGCCTGTTAATTACCCAGCGATCAAAATCTGGTGTGTTGGAGCAAGAAAACCTCTAAAACATGCAGGATAGCGGCCCTCGAGGACAGGAGTTTGACACCCCTGATGTAAACTCTATCCAGAAAGGTCCCCGGGCCGAGATTTGATCCAGCAACCTTGCTGAGAGGCATCAGCTCTACCAACTGAACCACTGTGCTGCAGGAGTCATTTTAAGTTTAAAATAAAATGTTACAAACTAGCACCTATCTTTTCTTCAGTATAGCAAATGATACCCTACTGTCACTATCATACTGAGGTACGTACATGCTAAACTGTGACCTGAGTCCACTGCTACACATAAATAAAGATATTTATTGTTTATTGTTTATTGTTTATTGATTAGGATCCCCATTAGTTTCCACCAAGATGGTTACTAATCTTCCTGGGGCCCAACACAATATTTATACAACACATAAAATATACACAAGATTAGTCAAATTCCACATTTTACAAAATTACAACCATAAGCCTAGTTAAAAACAAAATAAAACCAATAATAATAATAATAACAATAATAATGACACAATAAAATTTAATACAAATAAGATTTCAGTGCTCTTTTAAAAGAACATGTGCTTTTTAGATTTCTAATGTTTTTAGGTAATTTATTCCATTCCTGAATGGCTCTATAAACTACTGATTTTTGTAGCAAGTTTGTTCTAGCATGATTTACAATTACTTTTTGTTTCACAAGAGTATCTAGTGACATAATTATGTATTTGATCAGAGTAAATGAGCTTTTCATACACTGACTCAAGCCTCCTAGTAATTATAACTTTGTTTATAAATGTAAGTAAATTATTCTGCACCCTAAGTACGGTGCATTTCTATAATGCTTGCATGAAATGGACATCTTATTACATATATATACATTTATTTATTATATTATTTATATACATTTCACCTGAAATCAAGAATTTAATGTTGTCATTTGAGGACTTGTATTTCTTTCTATTTAAGAGACTGTTAGTTTGAAATTGTTACTTTCATGCTCTATAAAACATCCATGACTACTGAAGGTGTAACTTAATACAGGTACTCACCTATGTAATTTTTTGACACTGCAACTTCTCTGATGTCAATGTAAACCGATCCTTTTGGTATGCGAGCCACTTCCATGTATCCTGGCAAACAAAAACAAAAGATTAGTATGTGTGATATATTACTTTAACACACAGAGGTGGTTAAATGATACTAGGGAGAAGCTGTTCTTGTTTTTCTTTCCACATGAAAACTTGTATGAAACGTTTGGCGACCCTTCCTGATGTGACTTGGACACAAACCTGCAGACTCAGGGTCACAGAGTTGCAGCAGACTGATACTAGGTGAGAGTACATACATATAAATTAAATCCCAAATCACCCAAAAAGGACAAACTGCCCATGCAGGAGAATCAAACAACCCATTTTTTTACTCACATGCACACAGTATTTTTAGATGGCTTACAGGCCATACCATAGAAGGAAAAATTATGTTTTCTCTATCTCCTGCTCTCTATAGACAGTCGGGACACAAAGAACACCAAGCAATTACAGTATCTTCTCATGTCTCCACTTCCTGTTACTAACTACAAAAATTAGATTTGTACTAAAATGCTGAATAAAATTGGCTACAGAAACCAAAACTAAAGTTTTCAAATTTAAACGAGCAGTATAGAAGCTAAAATAATCTGGAAATAGGAAAGAAAATAACATAATACAAGCTTAAAGCTGAAAGTAACAAAAAAAGCATCTAAAAGTTTAAAACTTTGTTTTAAAAACAAAAAAGTCAAACATTGTTTGACTTTTTATCTTTGTCTTTGTTTTTAAGGGCTCTCCAATTAGCTTATAATAATTCTGCATTTGTTGTCTCTGGTTTTGTTTAGACTTTTTTGAGTTAATAAAAACAGAACATGTTTCAGTTAATGCTTATATTTTATCCTTTTATTTCTTCTACTTTGATAAACATTACTCAATCATTCTTAATAGTCTATTTAGTCAATGTTCATAATTAACCATTAGTTATTTAGAATATTATATATTTTTTTCATATATTTTTTTGTTATTGAAATTTGTTATTTTTGATTGATTTTATTTGAGACAAAATGGGCAGATATTATAAGATTTTGTCTTCTTCTGACGCCTTTCATTTATTTATGAT